GCCACATAAAATATACACTATATACATTACCACTAGGTCATTCTAGTGCCTGCTCTTGGGGGAGTTAGACAAGGGCAGGACAGATCCATAATCTCCTCTGTAACAACTGTGAATAACAATTTTGAATAAGAGTAAGTGGGTGGGACTAAGGCCTGGTTCACACCTGTACGTTTTGTAGCGCGTTCAACGCTCTACAAACGCTCTACAAAACGCTCAAACATGAAAATCCCATTGTTTTCTATGGGTATGGTTCCCACCTTGCCGTATTTCAGCCCGTCTGAATGTGCTACAAAACGGCCTACACCTGAAAAGGTACATGAGCTTCTTTGCGGCGTTTTTGTAGCGCGTTTCCATTGGGATACAGCCAAGTAGCCCTCGGAAACGTGCGTTTGTCACGAATCGCGGTAAAAACGCGCGTCATGAAACGCACGACAAACGCGCATATTCGATACGCCTAGGTGTGAACAGAGCCTAAAGGTGGCCATACATTGTACGATTTCCGTTCAGAAATCCTACACAAACGGTCTTTCGAACAAAGATCGAACAGATGATGGTCAATCACCGAATTTGGATATTGTGATCAAAATTTTTCGATCGGTCAGGTTGGAAAAAAAATGTCTGACCAAACGAAAATCGATGAATCGCTGGGGTTTTCGTTCGCCAAAAATCTACCCAAGAACACAGCACATGCGCAAAAGGAAATTATTTCCGTAGTTCGTCAAAAATTGGTTTTGGTTAGTGTGGCTAACGAACGATTTCTGAAATCGATATTTGACTATGCTTGATGGGGGAAGTCTAGGTATACTTGAACGAGGGTTCGTGCCAGAAATGAAAAATGTTTTATGAAAATCGTACAATGCATGGCCACCTTAGGAATGGTGTGTTGGAAAAATCTGAACATTGCTATTGACAATGCATAGAATGTTGGTAGGCAAGGATATATAGATGTAGATCCTTTCATTTTAAATCTCAGCTAGATTACATCTACACTGTGTTGTTCTTAAGCATTCAGCTGAATACAGCAGTCTCCCATTCTAAAATAAAAAAAATCTTGAAAGTGGAAGCTGAGAAGGGAAGTTGTAATTATTACATGAATTGTGAGGTCCTAAAACCCACAGACATTCCAAAGCTGTATAATTTACAGCTCCAGATCATGTTAGGGAAACACCACAGTCTTGCTGAGATTGCAGTTTTCCAGTTAGTCTTGGAAACCCTCAAAAACTGTTCCAAAATAAAACCATTGTGTTTGAAAAAAATGTATTTACTATTCTCTTTGGCAAACCCCATACATTAATTTTAAAGAAAATGAAAAGATGGCAAGCTGATCTAAAAAATTAGTTTGGACATACATTGTAATTTCTTAAGATCAAATAAAGACCTATGCTTAACATAAACACTAGCAACATTGTGCCGTTCCAGCATGGGCAAGGTTGGAGATATGGGAAGAGAGAAGGCATTAGTAGGTGCGATGGTAAGAGCAAGAGGATTGGGATGTTGGCATTGGTGAAAGTGAGAGGGACATTCAGGGAGCGTTTGTGGCTGAGCGTGGGAGTCAGAGTTCAAGCGTGGTGGTAAGAGCATGCGTGGGGAGAAGTAAGAGGATAGGTGGGGGGATTAGGGTCAGACACAGTGGTTAAGTGGCGGTAGTGTGCAGGCAAGGAGGCTGCGGATATGGTGATGAGGAACTTGCAGACACAATTGTGAGACCAGGGGGGAAGGTGTGCAGGTGCAGGGAGGGCAGCAGGGGGAGGGTGCGCATGTTTGGTGATGACAGCTGGGGTGGAGGGGTCATACTCATCTCAAATGACATGTGAGTAGGAGGGATGCAGGTAAGGCAGGGGTTCAGGTTTGGTAGTGGGAGCAGAAGGAGGGGTAGTGATGTGAGCAGGGGGTGTGGTGACCGAGGGTTGGGGTTGACTGCTGAGTGAGTGGTCAGCGCCCAATTACAATGATGCTGTAGCTAAACCAGCACAAGACATTGCATACCTTATTGAAAGCAGTAATTGCAGCACATGTGGACAACTTGTATCATATTATTTTACATAAGCTATTGAAGGGGTGGTGGCATTAACCATTTACTTTGTGGATTACAAATTTATGGAGGCATACCTGCACTGCGCAGGTCTCTGTGCTGCAAATACTGCTTTCGATAAGGTATTCAATGTCCTGTGCTGGTTTAGCTACAGCATCAATGTAATTGGGTGCTGACCACCACACACCCCCTGCTCAGGTACAGTAAATGCTCTCATATGGGTCACTGCAACCTAAATTAGCTGCTCTTAAAGGGCTAATTACTATTTTGCGGTTGCTACTGAAGTAATTAGGGTTCCCAACTAGCTGCTCCTAAAACGTTTTCTGACTATTGAGAGGCTGCTACTAGAAAATGAGGGCGACCTACAACTGGCCTTAAAGGGCCACTATTGATTTAGTTGCAATTAGAAGTCCTGGTATATTTTGCTTCTTTTTTGGATATCCTGTGCTCCAACAATCTCTCCAGAATGTATACAGCAAATAAACTATAGAAAAGATTAAAGTGACTAGTATTTTACCCCACAATAAGCCAGCCCACAGCCCAGAGATATTAAATGCTAGCCTGCCACACTACTTTGGGGGTCATTCTACAATGCCCAGGTGGGAGGAGGGCTACACTTCTTTTACAAAAACTACAGGATAACAGGCAATTCCATTGTCACATTTTGATTTGTCACATGTTTTACTTTATCTGATCTGAACTCAGGCCAAACATCTAAACGTTTTTAGTTCTACTTAGCTAGTTTGAGGTTTTCACTCCCCTTCCAAACAGCACAGCCAGGTTGGTGACCTCACTTTACCTTATTAGATATTAGTAATACAGCTAGGTCACCTACCTGTCTGCTAATTTGACAATAAAGAAGTATCACTAAGCTGAAAGGGTCTCTCCCAGTCTTGGACTAATAGGAAAGGCCATTAAAATCTAGCGAAAAGAAGATTTCAACATCTGTTTATAAATAGCCCCCATATCTTAAAAACATTATGTTCCAATGAACTCAGACTATTACAGATCCGTATGCGTCTTAGCTTGTTAATATTGCTAGCCTATCACAGATATAAAGATGGCCAGTACATCAAATTTGCCAGCAAAAGACGCTTGCACAGATGGCAGAGTTCACTCTGGAAAACCAGGAACTCAAAACTGCACTCTTAATAGCCCAGCAGTAAAACGCAGACATTCATTCCAGACCTGAGGAACACTGTGTACTGAAATAATATGTCATGAAACCACAGTCACTTTCAAGCTGGGAAAATCCACATTACAGAAAAATCATCCATGTCAGTAATGTAGAAGCCGATCTATTACTGGAAGGAAGGATGCAGGAAGCCGTAATATTGCCGCATAGGACAAGCTGACTTTATTACATCTTAAAATGTGTGCAGACCACTTTCACTTTTTATTGGCAGATCCATATGTTATTTCAAGTGGTACTCAACCATTGTATAGTTGCAATAAGAATGCATTCTGAACTGTTATGGCTCCATTACATAGTAAAGGGCAATGTTAGCCCAGCGGTACATAGCCATGTAAACCATTTTGTTCAAAGGTTCTCTGTGGTTGTAGGCAGCGCAGTATATGAATGAGCTCCCAAGCAACTGCTTGCAGAAAATCTGTCCTTCAAGGGCATGCTGTATTAGCATTCAAGCCACACTCTGAAAAAGCCCAGCAGTTTTCAGTGCTGGGAAATAAACAAGACCCCATTCACACCTGTGCATTTAAAAACATGCATTTTAAACACACAATTTGAAGTGCATTTTTCATGAGATGTGGTGAATACTGAAGCGTTTTAAATGTGTTTTCTGCATGCATATTCCAGGGAGGGAGTGAACTCTGTATAGGGGGCTTCATGTATTTTACAGGTAGTACCATTGATCTGTCTGGAAAATGTGCTTGATGGAAACCAAACTAAAGCTAGCGGGATGTTTTTAAAATCTAAAAAAGAGGTGAAACACACTGGTACATGTCTATCCATTAATTGTAAGTGTGAATAGGCTCTTAGTAATATTAAAGCCAAATTAGAGAGATTGGGGGATGGGTAGAAGAACCCCTATCATGTTTTTTTTCTTTTTATGTCTGTATCCCATTGAGATTTCACTTCACTCCCTTTCCTGCTTGAGACACAGCAGGAAGCAAGGGACAATCTCCTCTTAGCCAGTTGTCACCAGAACAGGTGTCCCATTGGAAGATTTCCCTTCACCTTCTGTTCCAGTGACAACTGTTAAATTTTGGATTTCCTATAACTTTCAGTCCTGGAAACAATGGCTTTTTAGAGAAAACAGAGGGGTGAGAATTTCCATGGTGGGTACACAGACAACAATATAAACTTTGTCCCCTGTCCCCTTTGTTAATCAATCTTGCCCTTGACCCCTATCCTGCTTCTTAGTCTCCTCTGCTATTTTTCATGGTTTTCAAACGGGCCCCTTCGATATAAAATTGGCCTTATTTGCAGACGACATCATTATAGTCCTCTCTGAGCCACCTTCTCAGCTACCTGAAATACTACAATTATTTGATCACTTCGGTACATTCTCGAGGGCTGAAAATACCCATAGATAAGAGTTCATTGCTACCCTTATCGACCTCCCCAATTTTTCTACTTAGACCCACATTTCCAAAATTCAGGCTCGTCATAGTTGAATTCCTTACCTAGGTATCCAAAGGCCTTATGATTATATTTCAACATTCTCAATGGTACCTGGAAGCTAAACTTGCCCTAGATGTCCTTGAAAGTGTTTTCATAGGTGCTTTCTTGTGATAAAACCATCTCAGAATCGTTGGAAGAGGAAGAAACCAATTCTCATCCAGCACTTGCCTTGCAATGCAAAGATAATAAGAAGTAATGGATTTCACTGCTAAACAGGACAACTGCAGGAAGTAAGAAACATATGCATATTTTCTTGGGAAGAAGCCCTTTAAGATTAGCTTGAGATGCAGCACTGAGCATGAGTCAGCACGCACAGACACTTACCCAAATATGGAATCATCGGAACCATCTTCAAATTTCGGATGTACTCCCGCGTGCGCTTGCAATTGTCCTCTTTAGAAAGAAGGTAGTCCAGCTTCTCAAAAGTAGTTTTGTCCTTCCGATTTAGAAGCTGCAAAAAGATAAACATTGTAATGTTAAAATAATGTCTTAAAGTGTAAACATTTTGTTTAGTTTTCTGTGGAGTAGGAAATGTGTTTTTTTTACTGTCCCACTGGAGAGATTCCCCCTCACTTCCTGTCCCAGAGACACAACAGGAAGTGATATGAATTATCTCCAAAGTGAGGACAAATCCCCTTTTAGCTGTTCCCTTTGGAAAATCTCGTATGCATTTCCTGTTCCAGTACAACTGTAAAATATTGGATTTCTTATCACTTTCTGTCCCAGTGACAATGGCCACCAGGACAATTAGAGAAGGAATCTCCCCAGCAGAGACACAGTCAGCAATAAAAAACCTTAAAGGAGTTATACCTTTCCCTAACATATTCAAAGTTTACAAAAGTTTTAGATTTAGATACACTTTAAATGAAGGCACTAAATGTGTGGTTTTCACATTTTAATCATAAAGCTTGACAATCAGCCCTACACTTCCTCTCATCGGCGATAGTCAAACAACCTCCAAGGCTGGAGAACACTCCGGAGGGATCAACCAGAAAGCCGAGGGGGAGACCGACCGAAGGAGAGAAGACAGGATTTAAGTGCAGATGTAAAATGTTTTATTTATCGAGTAGTTTAAAAATGGTTGCACTTACAGACTTCCATAGGTACAACAGCATAAGCAACTTATAGCTAGCCTCTTTCCAGGGTGTCAGCGGGGAAACGGCACACTCCTTTTACGCGTTTCGTCGTAGAGACTTTCTCAAAAAGGTGTCGTACCTTCACCATATTTATATGACACGTGTATTTATTAACGTTCATGCACATATGCACTTTTGGATTGCATTTAGTTGCAAGTAGGATTTGATCACTTATATTGGTTTCGTTTGTGGTATAAATATAGCACGTATTGCAATACCAAGCGCAGCACACTGGTTCACAATTAATCAGCCCCACCTATGTACACAGTGCTGTGTATAATAGTGCCTTATAGTGACAACTTCCCATTCATAATCATTTATGTTTAGTTTTGAATTTTTAAATAATTTGTTGGCAATACAATTGCCCATATGGCAACCACGTTGATGTTGGTTATTTGTTTAGATGAAGCACTGAGATCTTGAGGAATGCTGAATAAAGTTTTACTTGCTTAGAAGGACATTACATGTGAATACAGCATTATGCAGGAAACCTATACATAGAAAAACGTCCTGGGTATCATATATAAGCTTGTATATAGAAAACTAACACTGCACCACAGCGCCATCTACAGCTCAAAAGACATATCAGTACACATCAGAATGTCAGTAATACAATCAGTACATATCAGCATATGCTGCTGTATTTCCAACTGTTGACACCATCAGATTGATGTTTTACATGTACTGTAAATACCAGTGTCTTATTATTGATTTACTGTATATTGGCCCAATACAGCACTGTACAATATGATAATATACATACGCCATAACAATAAAAAATCAACAGTAACAAAAAAGTTACACAAATTTTCTGAACACTAGGAAAAAGAAACCTACCCAAAATGGAAAAGGTTAGACATTAAAAATCCAGTCTTGTGAATGGCAGTGTAAAAAAATCAGATGGAGGAAGAGATATCAGGAGCATAGAAGCTTTACAAACATATGATAAAGCTAAGAGAGGTGTTTAAAGACTTGGAGGGTTGGTGAATGTCTAGTGGCATGCAGACAGGGAACCCAGAGAAGGGAATCCAGGGAAGCCTTGGCGACATGCAATGTTTGCTTTCCCTTATTGAGGTAATTCCAAGCAATTAACATCAGTTATTCAACTGTGTATACTACACAGAAACCAAATGTGATATAATCCAAAGACCGAATCAGTACTACAGCTTAACACTAAAAACATACATGACAGCATGGTCACTGGACACTAAATTAGAGTCAACACTCTGCTGAGCTCTCCAAAGTACTCTCCTTCTCAAGTAAACTGCTTAAAAACACACATCTCTCTAGCCTCCATAGTCTGAAACATGATAAAAAGATGCAAAAGCACCTTCCTGGTTGCAGGGACTCATTGGGAGCATTTAATATTTAGACAGATTTAAAAAAATATATATACTAGAAGCACTTTAAACTGGTTAAATATATGTTAAATTAATATGTACAAAATATGTTAATATGGACCAAAAAGTATATATTTTGTGTGGAATTCTGCTCTAATCTTGTAGAATTACAAAATAACACTTGGAAGAACAAGGACAATCACTGGTTGCCAATTAGACTTTACTATGCACAAGTCACAAGTATAGCACTGGGATATTGCTGACCACAGAAAAGAGTGATAGCCCCACCAGTGTGCTGATGCTCCTGTATTGGTTAACTTTAGTGAAGAACAGAGAGAATACTGACTTGGCTGTGCTGTTTGACAGAAGTATATGGATCACAAGATTAAATGATTTACAAATCTTTTGACCCATAAAAAAGTGTACATAGGTGTTTCGCAGATGTATTCAGTTTGCTTTGCTTTGAGATCCCCTTTAGGCCGCGAGGGCAGCTAGTGGCATAAAATGACACCCAGGTTTACAATCAGACCAACTCAGCAGGTTGCTTGATTTTAGAGTTTAACTTTTCATGCTTATATCCAGGGGCGTAGCTAGAAATCACAGGGCCCCATAGCAAAATTTTGTATGGGGCCCTGTGATTTCTAGTTACACCCCCTTGAAATCCCACACAGCTCACCTGAGGGTGACCCTGCAGAGCCCACCATAGATTCTCTCTATGGTGGGCTCTGCAGGGTCACCCTCAGGTGGGCTGGTCACACTCCTTACCTGTCCGCCTCTTCTTCCTCCGTCTTCCCTCCTCCGTCGCCGGGCCCGCTCCCTCCTCCGTTGCCGGGCCCGCCTCCTCCGCCGTCACCGGTCCCACCTCCTTCTCTGTTGCTGACCCCGGATCCAGCCTCCTCCACCGCTGCTGCTGGCTCTTATTGACTCAGCAGCAGCTGTGGAGACGAACGCAGGGCTGAACAGATCACCGACAGTGATTTGAACAGCGGCACGTTCGAAGCCATAGCAACCCAGGCGGCCCGCACGGCATCAGGTGGGTGTCCTGGCCGGGCCCCCCTGTGCCCGGACCCCATAGCGGCCGCCTGGGTCGCTATGGCAATTGTTACGCTACTGCTTGTATCTTTACCAAAACTACAGCTACAATTTTAACTCCCTTTCAAGACATTTTTACCCAACGCTTTTAGGAAACACAGAGTAAAAGCTCCAAAGTGTCTCAAAGCTATATTGTGTATTCCCTTCTACACCCATATAATGATAATACAGAAGAACCTTGACAGATGCACTGTCATTACTGTCAGGATTAGTGATTTCTTATTGTACGGTTGTCACAAGCTTTGAAGATGTCTCAGTTAAGTTTAACGGGACCTATCACACAGCTCGAAATTATGGAGGCATCTCTGGATGATGCATATTTGCCGTGTTCTCTAATCCCCCTTTTAGTCAACAATATATGTCCAAACAAGTTGAAGATTTATGTATGTGGAATGCAGATCTGACAAATTCAAAACTACTTATGAGTCAGACACATTTGTCTAGGAAAGTTTAGTAGCTACATGAGGTTCTTAGGAGTTCTATTCAGAAGCTGGCTGACAATTTTCATTTGAGTTTTTCACAGCACTGTATAATACTGGCCTTGTCTTGCCCTCCTTACTTGTGATACTGAGGGGCTAATTTCTTAAAGTGAACTGGTGCCCGGGCTATGCACACTAAACTATTTGCATATTCTAAAAAATAGGGCAACCACTGACAATTTTGCCAGAGGTAAAAAATATTATTCCCAACAAAAAAGGAAATTGACTCAACTCCCTAAATTAAAATAGTACTCCATTAGCTTTTCGTATTATAGCTTTCCCAATTAATGATGGTAAGAAAAGTTCTTTTTTAATCTATTATTGTTTTTGCAATTATTCTCATGTGGTAAAGTAATTCACAGACTAACCGCTCTTACCATAAAGAACCCCCTTCCCAAACCAATGGTAAAAGCTTTCTTCCATATATAACCCATGTTGCGTCATACTGTCCTTAGAATAAAAGTTAATTTGCCAAATCTTAAGATTTTGCCAAAAGAAATAGTCACAGTTTTTCTTACTAATCACTGTGAGATTTAACATACCTTTAAATTAGTTTGTTTCCCACTTATAAACCCTAAAACCTTTTTGTCCACTTTCAGATACAAAAGCGTGCCTCATGTGGGAGATGTGACTGCATACTAATATAATATTGCACTTTTTAAAATCCAGATTCAAAAAGTGCAATACTATATTAGTATTACCGTGTTTCCCCGAACATAAGACCTACCCCAAAAGTAAGACCTAGCACTATTTGTCAAGATTCCTGTAATATAAGACCTACCCCGAAAATAAGACCTAGTTTGGTCTGATGTCCCTGCTGTCCACTGTCTGATGTACCCACTGCTACCGCTGTCCCTGATGGGAAAGGAAGCTGTAGAAAGCATGGCTGCGGCAGCGAAAGGAACAGAGCCGCATTAGCCACAACTTCGTCTATAGCGCTGGTTACTGTGACAGGCGGAGTGATACCAGATGCACTCTGCCTGTGAAATAACAGAATCTGCTTTACTGATACTGACCAGCAGGTAAATAACGAGAGCAACAGTATTATTCTCATTAAGGTCAGTAAATAAAAGACAGTGGACATTCTGACACTCTGACAAAAGTGATTACCGTATTGGGCTGCTTTTACACTGATCTCTAGATGCAGCACTGGGCACCTGCACTAAGCCATAGACTTCTGTTACCTAACCGTAAAAAAAATACGACATCCCCTGAAATTAAGACCTAGTGTGTTTTTTTGGGGGCAAAAAATAATAAGACAGTGTCTTATTTTTCGGGGAAGCACGGTATATGTTTATATCACTAAAATACATGCCGATATTTTGTTTGCCCTTTCAGCTGCCTTCTATCATTGAGTGGTTCTGCTAAGCGTACTACTAACCCAAGTCCTTCTTCAGCTCTGCT